AAGATATGGTGGCTCATGTTGGTGATTTTGGAATCTCTAAAATTTTAGCCGTAAGCAAGTCCATGGCTTATATGGAGACATTGGGCACTCTTGGATACATTGCACCAGGTATTCTAGTCTCTTTGTATATATTTTCACAAAAATCAGAATTTATCCCTTCCAAAATCATAAAAGCAAGTGTCTGTTAGTACATAATTATGTTATATTTAAATGAGTAATTCTTTTCATTTTCATTCTTTTTTAAGAATATGGCTCGGAGGGAATAGTGTCTTCTAGTGGTGATGTTTATAGCTATGGCATCATGGTGATGGAGGTCTTGACGAAACGAAGGCCAACAGATGAAGAGATATGCAATGAAAATCTTGACTTGAGGAAATGGATCACACAATCATTTTCAGGGAGTATGATGGACATCGTGGATGCCAATCTTTTTCGTGAGGAAGAACAAATCACTAGTAAAAGTGAAATGTGCATAGCGTCCATGATAGAATTGGCTTTAGACTGCATAAAAGAAATGCCAAAATCAAGAATAAGCATGAAAGATGTAGTGAAGAGGCTTAACAAAATAAACAACACATTTTCTGGAAACATAGAAGTTAATATGATGCTTTTTGTTTCTGTAGTAAAGTCTTCGTATAGTACTACTTGGAGTCATATATTGTTTGTAATTTCATTGGAGTGTTTTGAACCTATTTTAGTTTATGTATTTGTAATTATGTTTTGAATGCACTATTTTGCTTTCTGTTCATTATTTGTATTCAAGAAACTTCTTTTGATAAACTGAGCACTTTTCATTTCCTTATACTAATTTCTGTATTGTTTGGACTTTAGATGCAGAACAGGAAATGTGCTTTTTAAAAATCAGAGGAACATCACTTGGACTCGCTATCACAAAAACAGGATTTTAAGCATTTTTCATGTATTAACGTTAGTCCAGTGGGCCATCGATAATTAGTGATTGACCCCCAAACTTGAAGGGAAAGTGGTGATTGTTACAGTTTCTATACAAGGTATTGGATTTAGAATAGCTCAGAGACTTGGATTTGAAGGTGCTTCTGTTGTTATCTCCTCTCGCAAACAGGTTTTGTTCTTCACTCCAATTTCGATGATTCTTCAAATGGGTATTTCAGATTTTGTTAAAAGTTCATGTCTTTTCTTTCATCTGATGGGTTTGATGAACTGAATAACTTGTACTTTTTTCGAATTTTACACACATACACATGATCCCTACGAATGGTGGATTGTTGAGCTAAATCAACTCAAAGATACTCTTAACATGGTGTGGTGTGATATTGTCCGTTTTCGGTCAAGCTTGAGGATCCTACTCCTTCTATGAAACTTCTCAATATTTTCAGCTACCAACGTGGTGCTGCTTTTGTGTGATTTGGGAATTCCCCTTATTATAATTTCACACACACACGTACACATAGTCCCTATGAATGGCCGATTAATTGTTGGGTTAAATCACCTCAAAGATAGTCTTAACATGGTGTGGTATTGTCCGTTTTGGGCCAAGCTTTCATGGTTTTCCCATATTATCTGTAACTCGTTTTTATCCATTTAAAATATAAGTCAAGTCGATTACTTTATCCATTTTTGTTTAACTCGTTTTGGATCGACTCGTTCGTTTGCCACTCCTTACAATCTATCTTCTGGTCACATCCCTTCCAACATCTGCCTACTCACATTACTCAAAATTTCTTTCAACAAAGGGCAGATGTACATTCTAACTTTGCAGGTGATATATCCTCATTAAAAAAGTGATGCATTTATACTTGTCGTCTATCTAAAACATGATTACTTTTTCGTTAACAAACTCATTGAATTAGAAAAATAATAATCTTAAAGTACTTATTTTAACTTCTAAAAATATGATGTAAACTTTAAAAAATTACCTCATCCATTTTTTTTAATCTTTTCAAGCCCGACTTAGTTGAAAAAATGGATGTTCATGTGACAATGAACTTGAATACCCCTTGTTAAAAAAGTATTCATATGACAATTTCCATTCATAAAATAATTTTGTTATTTTGTTACTTTGCCTTATTATTGACGAGTGCAATTCATGTATTAGAGTGTGTTTATAGAACCAATTTAAATCAGGATAAGATGTTTAGATGGTCATAAGCAAAAGTTAAGGTTTATAATACGATACATTATAAAACAATACGTAATAAATAATAGTTAAACCAAAAGAATATATCTGAATTTTAATTTTGATTTTTTTAAAATTATTTTTTCCACTTTAATTAGTTAAACCAAAAGAATATATCTGAATTATTTGTGTAATAATAGGAGTATATGTGATATCAACTCTAATCACAAATTTGAGAGGCGATATCATATCAGACCTTTTTCCCTTGTATATATGTATGATTTCAGATTCACTAGTCCCTCCCTTATTTTAAATTAGCACTTATCCCTTTTATAGATAACAACTTCGGGTTGAATTATATCGGGTCTGGTCAAGTTAAATTGTGTTCGGATCAGTTCACATAAGCAATTCACGACTCAAAACTTACGAAAGAAACCAAAAATAAAAAAAATAAAAAAGATTTAGAAAATATATATATATATATATATATATATATTTTAAAAAGAAGTGAAATCACATGACAACGAAATAAATTAATGTATTGCTTGGTTGATGTGATAGTACATGCGGGGATACGTTTGCAGTGAAGACTTGGAAAATAGTATGAAGTTTATTAACAAGAATTCTTTGGGGAGGACCTATTACCACTCTGCACTATTTAATAGTGTATTTTAAAGGTATATATGTGCCCACGTGGACAAGAATCTATTTATAATGATGCAATATTCATGATGGTCACGTGGACACATATATATTTCTTTAAAATACACTATTAAATAGTGCAGGGGTAAAAGGTCTTGCCCAAAGTTTGAGATTGTTACAGCAATTTCAATCAAAGTTGGAATATATTTCAGACATTTTCCCAATAATTTAGTTCTTGCTTACGTGTTGTGAATATAGGAAATCTTAGCCTCCAATCTTTTTTTTCAGGTTCATATTATTATAACAATAATGTTGCCCTTTTCATTTGAATTTGATTGAATATATTATATTTTGGAATTCAAAGAAAACAAAAATAAAAATAATAAAATAGATTTAGATTTTTCTTTTTTTATAAAAAAAAAAGTGAAACCACACGTGACAACGTTCGATTTTCTTCTAAAGAAAGATTAAAATTTCTTCCATTTTGTGCTAATTAGTGAATCTGTGTTGTGTAACACAGACTTATAAGGTTGACTCCTATTGACTTGCTCTTAACAATATAATGAAAATTGATAGCAACAATTATTCTTTCTATTATGACTTTTATTTCGTTTTGTGAAACACAACCCAAATAGTGTCTTTTTGCTTTTGCTAATATACTTATTTTCCTCTTTTTAATCTGTCTTTACATTAATCTATTTGGTACTTATTTTCCTCCTCGTATGACTGTTTTCACATTTTGGAAATTATAGTCTATACTTTTCAACACATTTTATAATATATAGTGGAGTAACTTTGGTCATTGGAAATACAACACACACAAATTAATATGGAGAAGCACATCTTCTTATTGATTCTTCTCTTTCTAATTCAATTTTCTATATCACTTGCTTCCTCTAATGAGACTGACCAACAAGCTCTGTTAGCTTTCCAAAATCTTATTACAAGTCCTAATCATTTTTTGGCCAATAATTGGACCAAAAATACTTCTTTTTGCTCTTGGTATGGTGTCACTTGCACACCAAAAAGCCAAAGGGTTGTGGCCTTGGATCTTCCTAATTTGCAACTTCAAGGCACAATTTCCCCATCTTTGGCCAATTTGTCCTTCCTCGGTGTTCTCAATCTCCAGAACAACAGCTTCCGTGGTGGCATCCCTTATGGACTTGGCCACATGCCTCGCTTGCGAGTTATTGATGTTAAAAATAATCAGCTCAATGGAAGTATACCAACAAGTCTATTTCAAAACCGGAGAGTTCAAGTAATTTCATTGGCTTTCAATGAACTCAGTGGTGAAATGTGGAGAGGGCCATGGTATGTACCCAAACTCAGAGTCTTAAATCTCAGGAACAATAGCCTCACAGGTATAATCCCTCCTTCTGTTGGAAATGCCACAAAATTGTTGAACATCAATTTGTCTGGGAATAGAATCAATGGTAACATTCCAATGGAGATCAGTAATCTTAGCCAACTTGCATTTTTGTTCTTGTTAGATAATCAATTAACAGGTTCCATTCCTCCAACACTGTTTAATATCTCGTCGCTACTTGGCATATCTCTGTCATTCAATGGCCTTTCTGGTCCTCTCTTGCTAGATGAAGGAAATATTGTGTCAAATCTGAAGCATTTAAGTATGTCTTTCAACCAAATTTCTGGTTGCATTCCTTCCAACATATGCCAACTCACAGAGCTCAAACTTTTGTCCATATCTTTCAACAATATAACTGGACACATACCTAGAAATATTGGTTGTTTATCCAAACTCGAAAGGTTTTATATTGGTGAAAATCCAATAGAAGGGACTATTCCCACTTCATTGGGAAATATTTCTACTCTGCAATATCTTGATTGTGTCGACAATTGGATGAAGGGCAAATTCCTCAAGAATTAGGGAAGCTATCAAATTTGAGGGAATTAAGCTTTGCCAATAATTCTAATCTTATTGGTCAAATTCCAAAGTCTATTTTCAACATATCTTCTTTGGAAGTGATCAATTTTAGTTTCAATAACCTCTCGGGGAGAATTCCAACCACTACAGGTCTTCATCTTCCGAACCTTAAAGAACTTTACTTGGGAGACAATCAGCTGGAAGGGGAAATTCCATTGTTCATAACAAATGCTTCCAAGCTTCAGATACTGGCGCTAAATGATAACTCTCTCAAAGGAACTATTCCTAACAATTTGGGGGAAATCTTTGTGAGCTACAAATACTGCTCCTACATACTAATCAACTTACCAATGAACCAAAAGAGCATGAGTTGAAATTCTTCAATTCTTTGGCGAACTGTAGGATGTTGAGATATCTAGAAGTGGGTAACAATCCGTTGAGCGGCGTTCTACCAAATTCTATTGGGAATCTCTCATCTACTATTGAAAAAAATCATTTAGTAGATGCACACATCAATGGCCTCATCCCCACAAGTATAGGCAACATGAGCGGTCTTACATCCATAGACATTCAAGACAACAACTTGGCAGGGAATATTCCTTCTGAGATTGGTAAGCTTAAACAACTCCAAGGGTTGTATCTAAGTAACAATAAATTTCAGGGACATATTCCAGAAGCGGTATGCCATTTATCTAATTTGGTTAAATTAACTCTGCAAGTTAATGAGCTCTCTGGATTAATTCCAGAATACTTTGGAAATCTTAGCATGCTACAAAAGCTTTATTTGGCTTCTAATAAATTTTCATCAAAATTTCCGTTGAGCCTTTGGAAGATTTAGTGGTCTTCTCTATCTAAGTGTGTCACAAAATTCAATAGAGGGAGAACTTCCATCAGATATTGGAGAACTGAAAGCCATTGTAGGACTATATCTTTACAGTAACCACTTTTCAGGTGTGATACCAACCAGATTCGGGGAACTTCAAAACCTGCAATATCTTGACCTATCGAACAATTCATTTTTTGGCAAAAGTCCATTATCCTTTGCCAACTTGATAAGCTTGGTATTCTTGAATTTGTCTTTTAATGCCTTGTCTGGTACTATTCCTATGTCATTGGAAAAGCTCTCCTACCTTAAAAGCATTAATGTTTCATTTAATGATTTAGAAGGTGAAATACCGAGTGGTGGCGTGTTTGCAAATTCCACTTTGCAATCATTTCGCGGGAACAAAGGTCTTTGCGGAGTGCACATATTGGATATTCCTGCTTGTGATATCACTAATCCTGGAAAACAATCAAAGCTTAAGGGGGTTGTGCTAAAAATTGTTACTCCACTGGTTATTTCATCCTTTCTGATATTCTTGTTGGTTTCAATTTGGATAATGAAACGACACAAGAAAGGAAAGTCCAAAGATGTTGAAAAGGTATCAGAGATTAGGACTCACCAATTAGTTTCTTATCATGAGATTCAACGAGCAACAAATAATTTTGATGAATCCAATTTAATTGGTGAGGGAAGCTCTGGCTCTGTGTACAAAGGCATTTTATCTAGTGGAACTGTAGTGGCCATAAAGGTTCTGGATTTGGAAAATGAGCAAGTTTGCAAGAGGTTTGATACTGAATGCGAAGTGATGAGAAATGTTAGACACAGAAATCTTGTGTAACATCCGACAATTTGAAATAGCTTTGAAGAGGCTTAGGATTGGAAATTTTCATTTTTGGAAAGGATTTAAAAATCTGGAAGAATTTGGCTAAGTGTAGAAATCAGTGATTTTTTGGCCAACTTTGAGAAGTCATAACTTCCAGCTCAGGATGAGTTAGGAGTAGTTCCAGTTATGGTTGTGAAGCTTGTGGAATGATCTTTCCAACGCCGCCGAGTTTGCTCGATGACGAGTTCGTATGAGTGAGATATGCCCTTTGAAAGTTGGGAAGTTGACAAGGAAATCTGTCCGGGAATCATTTAGGGCATTTTAGTCTTTTCCCTAGCCAATTCTTTTGGGATTATATTGTTGTATAGGGATGATCTTTGGATCATTTTGTCCCATTTTAAAGAGAGAAAGTTAGGGTTCTTGAGAGTGAAGAAGAGAAGAA